TTCAACTCCCAGAATTCCTCAGCCAGGCATGCCACCCTATTAATGTGGAATGATGAACAATCACTAGAATAATGATGTGTCTGCATAATTACTGGAATAGTGCTGTGTTAGTAGTATGTGACTAACCTAATGTGCATTGCACTTGGATACAAATGTATGTAGCAAACTCTCCATTGTATACCCGTGAGAAACGAATGTATTACAATGTGCATTCCTTTGTTCCTGAGAAAAAGAAAGTATAAAACTGAAGTCTGAACCTGCCTTCGGGGTTCAGAATTGCTGTTGCTATTTCTTCTGAACCTGCGCAATAAATCTCTCTGCTAAAACCCTCTGGAATTTGTAAGAGTCCTTTCGTTTTCCACAAGATTATTGTAAGGGTCTTGGGTCTCAAACCTGAGTTGTCAGCTTTCCAGCCAACAAGCCCGGTGCCTTAACCGTTGAGCGCAGGAAGAGAATATGGCAAAAATGTGCTAGTTTTCCCAGGCTGAGCCTCACAGCTGCCCTTTCAGTGACATGTTGGGGATACCTCCCCAAAGGGACGGGTTGGAGTACATTTGATTAGATTCTGTTACTATTTAAATTGTATTAAAGTGAAAGATTGTAGCCAGGATGGCTCCTGTTTGTGTTTGTGGGCTGACAGATTTATTTGGACACCTGCTTGGATGCTACACACCCTGAGATTCTTCCCTAACAGAGGAATGGAAGAGGCAGAAGCATGAAGCTTGGTGGAGTTGACAGGTGTCTTCCTATAGCTCTAAAAGGGGCTCAGCATTTCAGAACTTCAACACACCCTTCATAATCACACGGGAGATCGTCTTTACCTCCCCGCCCCAGCCTTAATCTAAAAATAAAAGAAGCTTGGGAAAAAACACTGAGGATTGGAAGCGGTCCAAGCACGTTCTAAAATCTGGCCATAATCAGGAAGTTGTGCTTTCCTTGGTGCAGGAAACAGCTCCTTTGTGGCCATAATAGCTGGATACCCCCCCCCCCCAGTGGCATCCTAGACATGGTCTAGAGTCCTCAAGCCAAAGCAGATGTATTGAACTATTTATTTTAGGAATTCTAGTGCAGAATTCTTTCGTCTGGATGAGCCTTGACCGTCATACTATAATTCGCATCTTCATCAGGTTGAAGATGGCTTCTGTAGATATTTTGGAAGCGCTCCCATTGGCTGAACTGATTTCATGCTTGCACACGTTTTAAAACCAAATCTCAGAAACCTATCCTTTTCCTGATAGCTAATTAAAATTAAAAGTAAGTTGAAAGTGGGATTAAAGCAAACGCTGTAGCTAATGAAGGTGAAGTTAAAAAAACAACAACCCCCCATTGTTTTAATGGTTGATTTTTAAAATGTAATTTTTAAAAAAAAATCTGAAGTGAAAAATTTCACTGGTTTTCCTTGACGCAATCTGGAATATTTCATAATTTTTCAAGGTGAAAGTTGAATCTGTGGGTTTAAGCATCTATTTCTTAACACCCTGCTATGCAGAGATAATTGAAACAAGAAGAATTCAAGATTTGACTTGCTGCAATATTATTGGGATTAAGGAAAGCACTTAAAACCCAGTTATCTCAACGGGCTTCTGAGAGGGATTTTCCTTGCATCAGCATATATAATTATGTGGGATTATGATTCCTTGACATAGAAATAGAGTATTTTATTATGAATATCATTTATTGTTGGCTGTTTTTTTGCTGTTTTAATTTTGTTTACCTACTATAATAAGTTTTTGTCTGAGACTCCTTAACTGTAGCCCAGTTTGTTTACCACACCAGTTTTCATGAGACTCATCAGATGACATGTTCTAATGGAGAAACTCACTTTCGGTCTTGGTGTGTGTGTGTGTGTTTTCTGTGGAGGGAAGTATCTGCCTCACACAAGAGGGGGAAACATAGACTCAATAAAGGGAAGATGTAAAATGTTTATGACATTTTGATTGAATTTGGATAGGATGGGACTATGTAGCATTTTTGGAAAATTCAGGTGGAAAAAGGTGTGGAAAATGCCTTAAAATCTAGAAAGCTTTTCCAGAGATTGCTCTGCAGCTACAAAGGGCAGCAAAGAATCCATAGAACATAGAATAATAGATATACTTATATATCTATTTATATTATATATAAATATGTAGATATTTGTTTTCTGAGGTTTTCACGGGTGTTTGTATGTAGGTCTTTGGTTGTTCAGGTTTTCTCCCGCGTAAAATTGGAAGTGTCTTGGCGACGTTTCGACGAAGTCTCATTCGTCATCTTCAGGCTGGTGTTTTCAGCTTCGTGCTTCGGGCAGCACGAAGCTGTTTGTGCTTGCTGCCCGAAGCACGAAGCTGAAAACACCAGCCTGAAGATGACGAATGGGACTTCGTCGAAACGTCGCCAAGACACTTCCAATTTTACGCGGGAGAAAACCCGAACAACCAAAGACCTACATATATAGATATATTTATATATAATAAATATACCATTTCAGACAAATGTCTGTCCAGTGATGGAGCACCCACAACTTCTGAAGGCAAGCTGTTCCACTGGTAATTTTTTCTGTTAGGAAATTTTTCTTAGTTGCATGTTGCTTCTCTCCATGATTAGTTTCCATCCATAGTTTCTCATCTTGCCTTTTGGAGTTTTGGAGAATAGATTGACCCCCTCTTCTTTGTGGCAGCTCCTCAAATATTTGAACACTGCTATCATGCCTCCCTGAGTGTTTCTTTTCATTAGACTAGACATAGTTGTCACCGTATGTTTTAGCCTCCAGCCCCCAAATCCAGGAAGATTGGCTTGGCTTAAAGCGCTGTCGAGAGGAGCGATGTGAATTTTCCACTCGTCTGGAACCACATTTCCCCCTTTAAATCTGAAGCATGTGTCAGCCCTGAGATTTAGTGTACGGAATTTTCTGGGTATGAAGATAGCTGTTTCTAAAATACTGCAGAACAAGAGCAGAGAGATTTTTGTGGTAACAAATAAGCGATTTGCATCTTCCCCAATAAACTAAGGGTCAATTAGAAAAATGAGCGTCAATAGGGAAACCTCACCTTGGGTGTTGATAAATGAGGGCTAAAGTATAGATAATCCTTGACTTATAACCATTTTGTTTAGTGACTGTTCAAGGTTACAGTGGCACTGGAAAAAGTGACTTATGACTGGTCCTTGAACTTACGGCCTTCGCAGCCTCCCCACCGTCACAGGATTAAAATTTGGGCAGTTGGAAACCACCAAGTATTTATGACTGTTGCAGCATGCCAAGATCATGTGATCACCATTTGCAATCTTCCTAGCTGGCTTCCGACAAGCAACATTAATCTGGGAAACTGGATTTGCTGAATGACCAAATGATTATTGAACAACTGCAGTGATTCACTTAACAACTGTGGCCAAAAGGGTCCTAAAATCATAGGCAACTCACTTGAACAATCACCTCGCTTAGCAATGGAAATTCTGATCTCAGTTGTGGGTTGTAAATCAAGAGAATACCTGTATTCATACGGTATGCTTGTCTCTACAACTGTATAGTCTAACCCTTTTGTCACGGCAGTAAACTTTCTTACTCTGAATCACAGCAGTAAACTTTCTTACTCTGAATCTTCGGGAATCTCACTAGCGGGGCCCTGAGTCACTGCAAGAGCTTGGCAGTTGGTTACTAGACGATTGTTCTATCTCACAGATCATTCTAGATTTTGCTCTGAATTCTGTTTCCATCCTCTCTGAGAATTGTAGGGAAGGGCGGTTTTATTTTTCCACATCTGTGAGATCTCAGCCAACAATTAACAAGGAGAGGAAGAAATAAGTTCTTAGCATGCCATCCAGGAGCCAAGCTCGATCTTCAGGATGAGATAAAAGAGTATATAGAAAGGTGTGGGTATAAGAAGATTATAGCAGGTTAGAAAAACACACTCTGAGATGGCACATTTCTATCTGAACTCTACTATTGTGGCTCCCACATTTAATATTCTTCTTATAAAAGACTGATAATTCTTCATAATAATAATAATAATCACCTCTATAAATAATCGCAGAATCAGGAAGCAGGCTGGGCTGGAGTCTACTTCTCTGGCTTGGTGACTTTTCTTAGTAGGTGGATTTTTATAATCTTTTATACAGTCCCAACTGCATGGATTTTATCTGTAGCTTAAAGTGTGACAACACAAATACAGATTGATTGCTGCAGCTCCAGTACAGGGTTGGATGAAAAAGGATTCTGTATCAGAGGCCAGAGTTTAAAGATATGCCTTGTTTGAAAACTTTGGAAAAAGCATAACTGGCCCAACACAAAAATGAGCGGGTTTTAATGTTACCCGCTAGGGTTGGAAAACTTTGAATAAAATTGGCACCTTCCGTGGCATCTGTCAAGACTCTCTGTATAGATGGGGCAGAATATCCTCCCCTGAATGTAACTGTGGTGCTGTGCTCTTTGCCAGATACTGGGTCCTACAATGATTATCTGTCATTTGAGAGCTTATACAGGAGGAAAAGCAGATTTTTCTCCAACTAACAAATGCTGTGCTTAATTAGATAAATGGCGTAGATATTAAATGTCTGTGGAGATTCTCAGTCATCCAGGTCATGGTTGTCCCAAAGGTGCTTTGTCAAAAGACAACTGGACTTTCTTAGTTTTTCCTTGAAGAAATTTCAGCCAAGAGGTTCTGAACTGAAGGAGCTTCTTGAATGAGAAGCGAAATATCCTTAAGGGAAAAACAAAATCCAGTTGTCTTTTGAAAAAACACCTTTGGGCCTAGATATTAATATATAGAACACTTATTTCATAAGTATGAACCAATGTATTTTAAAATGTAATTTGTAACTTAGTGTATAACTTCTTGAATCTTTTATACCTTACAAAATTGACCACACGTCTCCATCTTACGTGTGAATTATTATGAAGCGTTCTTTCCATACAGCTGCTATCCTTGTATTTTATGCCATATGCTAAATAAAATACTGTTGATCTGCTGATTTTTTTTCTATAGGAAACATATTTTAATCAACTCTCTGTTTCTCTCTCCTCCGTGCAGCATCTCTAGAAGATCAATTTGTCTCCAAAGAGTTGGAGGAGACATCAGCTTTGGCAGAGGATGAATTACAGACTGACTCAGCAATTGTGCAAGCCAGTGGTCCATTTACATCAAAAGCCCACCTTGGAATTGATCAGGGTTCATCCCTGTCTTCTTCTGCATTAGATGCTACGTCATCTACGGAGGAGAATATTGGTTCAGTGAGACTCAATCCAGACCATACTTCAGACACACTATCCCAGGAGGAACAAAGGGAAATTTTGAAGGAAAGCCAAGAGACGCCCGTTCAGGAATCTTCAGAGGTCAAGTCAAGTGTTGAGAACATTGCAAATAACAAAAGTAAGCTCCCCAGGGCAAAACCAATTGCTCTTCAAAAGAAAATGGGGGGAGAGACTCCCGAGACTGAAGTGACCACAGAAAGCCCCCCTATTCCCAAAGCTACCTACCGCTTTGATCCAGAGGAATACAATGAGACCGTGAACCCATTTATGATGGGAGGCTCCAAATGTCCAAACTCGCCCCCTGCATCTCAGCCAGGTGCTGATCTTCCAAATAGTGACCCTAAGCATCCCAGCTCAGCAGGAGCTGGAGATTGCAAGACCCGGGCCGTGAAACTAGAGTTTGATTTTGCCGAAGGAGCGGAAAACGTTGAGCCCAAGAAGCTTCCAACAAGAAAAATGGGAAAGAGGCCTAGCAGCAAATTGTCTCCTAAGAGACAAAGAGGACCTACCACCCGGCCTGTTGTAGGTCCTGAGGATGGAGAGAAGACCACAGCTCCTGATGCTTCAGTGGCACCTCTTACCAAGGCTACTGCGGACACCAGCCAGTGGGATGATCCTGCCTTTAACCCTTTTGCGGGCAATTCTTCTTTGCAGGATTCTCCCACACTCACAAAACGTTCCTATCAACTAGACATGACAGATCCTTTCAAGCCGAATAGCAAGACTTTGTCCACTGTAGGAGCCGATTCTTGTCCTTCCGCAGAGAACAGTCTCAACGAGATCTTGGAGTCGCAAGCCCGAGAGGCTGCAGGGGATGATTTGAAGACAAGCTTGGTCCCCCAGACCTCCAGGTCACGGCTGATAACGTGAGTGGTAGGGGGTCTCAGCAGGGGAGGAAAGAGGAATACTTGAGGCTGGTGAGGATCTAAATAGGATTTTATCTCCTCCAGGCTGCAAGTAACTCAACCATTGCAACTTATGGGGCTTGCTCTGAGCGTAAAGTTATTGTTGTGCACGCGGACCAAGTCCTATGTGGGACAACAACCTTGCCCACTCTGTATCATTGTGATCTATCCCCTCCCAGATATGTGTATGTTCCCCAATCAACAAGCGTTGCCTTCTCTGGACATTCCGTACCAAGCCAAATTCTTTTGGCTGAGGAATTCTGGGAGTTGAAGTTCACAAGTCAGAAAAGGGCCAAGTTTTAAGACCCCTGGTATAGACTATGTGGAAAGGGCTGGACTTATCTTCTGCCTCTCTAATCAGAACTCTATGCCCCCAGTTCACGGGTCTGATTTTAAGATTTGCCTAAATTATTCACACTGCACGCTGCATTCAGTTTTGTATGCTTGCAGTTGGGGGGTTGCTAATAAGATGGAGGCCAAGCTACCATACCAGGATCCTAAAACTTCCAGTCATCTAGCCGCTGGCATCTTCTGCAGCCCCATTTCTGCTTCCTGGGACCTCTTTGGCCTTTGAGCCAAGAGTTTTGCAGCCATTAACAAGTGGCTTTCTGCTATTTACGATGAAAGCGGAGGTTCTCGGAGACCTTAATTCCATCTGATGTTCATGCAGAACTGCGACATTTAGATATGGCTCTTGTAATAAGCTGTGATGCTTCTTTTGAGGTCTCTTCTCCTAGTCCTAAATATGTCAAGTTCTCTTCCTAGCGTATTTCCAGAGGACCGATAAGCATTTATTCAATAGGATAATACCATATATATCTGGATCTTTCATGTATATTTTCTCCTTCCTTTCCATCTCTCTCCCTCTGCTTGTCTTTCTTGTCTGTTTATTTCTGGTGCCTCAGGACTACAGAACAAGTGAAATTTCTCTGTTTTCTGTTGTAAGTAATTTTCTCTCCCCTTTTCTTTTCTTCATTCCTTTTCTGGAAGGTTTTGGTATTCTCTCTCTTTCTCCTTCTCTCTCCTTCTCTCTGTTGCATGTTGCTTTTTTTCCCCCTCCTGGATTAAAAAAAAAAAAAAGAGTGTGTTGTCCTTGGCCTCCATTTAAAAGGCACGATTTTATCTGGCAGCTTTGCTTCCCAGGGGAACAAGTAGGGAGAGATGATGATGCTTGCTGTTGATGGCATTGCGATCTTTGATAGCAGTAATGACATTTGATTTGATCTGATTTGATCTGCTGTTGATGGCATGCTTATTTGCAGTGGATGTTTTTGTGCCTGCAAAATTATCCCGGCTTGTAGTGTGCCCTTGCAGTCTCCCAACTGAGGGTTCATCTCTGGCAATCCAATTTCAGATTGCTGTCAAGAAAATGATATGGATGTGCCCGTGAAGTCAAGCTCAATTGTCAGAAAAAATTGCAATAGCTTTTTCAGCATGGGTGGTGATGAATAGAATAGAATATAGAATATAGAATAGAATATAGAATAGAACATAGAATAGAATATAGAATAAGGAATAGAATAAAATGGAATGGAATAAAATAGAATAGAATATAGAATAGAACATAGAATAGAACATAGAATAGAATATAGAATAGAACATAGAATGTAGACTAGAACATAGAATAGAATATAGAATAAGGAATAGAATAAAATGGAATGGAATAGAATAGAATATAGAATAGAACATAGAATAGAATGTAGAATAGAACATAGAATAGAATATAGAATAAGGAATAGAATAAGGAATAGAATAAAATGGAATGGAATGGAATAGAATAGAATATAGAATATAGAATGAGGAAATTCAGCCTGCGGTTCTTCTCTGTTTGATTGGGAGTTGCCCAGTTGGTTGAAAAATGGGCAGTTATATAAATGTTTTAAATCAATCAATCAAGCTGGTTGGCTTAATGTAGTTGTGTTAACAGAGAGCAGAAAGATTTTTTTTTAGAGCTGGGGCAAAAATTGCATTTCCAGATCTTGTTTATAGCATCTCAGGGCAGGGCAAGGGGTGGGTTGCTGCTGCTTTTGGAAGTGAAAATACAGGGCTGGTGAGAGTAAAGCAGCTTTTGCCAATTGCTGACAACTGAAATGAGAACAATGCTGTGGGCTTGTACAGGAACTGTGTGTGTGTTGTGGGGGGGGGGATTGCTAACTTAAAAGAGCTCTCTCTCTCTCTCTCATCTCTCATTCTTTTTTAAAATAAGCGGGCTGTCTCAGCTTTTCTGAGACCGTGGCAATAGAAGCAAACACATTTGCCTTAATTTTCCTTTGGGCGAAGTATGTTTGGACGTACGCATGTGTAGAATCATCCAAAACTCCAGGTTATTTTCTTCAGGTTAACTTTAGAATTTGCTCTGTAAGCAGAATAATGTTGATTAATGAAGTTAGCCATCATTTTATTGCTTAGGTCAGTGATGGCGAACCTTTTAGAGACTGAATGCCCAAATTGCAACCCAAAATCCATTTATGCATCGTTGAGTGCCGGGTAGGTGTGGCCCATTGGGTGGGTGTGGCCCATTGGGTGGGAGTGGCTGCGGTGGTAACGGCAGACTGGGTGGAACTAAAAAGTTCAATCAATCAATTCCAACTTTGCAAAATCTTTTTTTTCCTGTAGAAGTTGAAATTCACTGATTGAACTTTTTTTTTTTTTTTTATGCACACGGCGACGGAGGCCTAAAGCGAAAAGATTTTATAAAACCAGCTGAAGGCCTAGGACTGGGATGACGGCGCACGTGCCCACAGAGAGGGCTCTGAGTGCCGCATAGGTTCGCCACCACTGGCTTAGGCATTATCAGATGCTTGTTTTGCTGTAAAGACCCTTGAAATGTGTGGCCAAAGGATTCAAATCAGGCTGTGGTGGTTTATTTACTCCTTTGTCTTAATTGGCTGCTTCTCCTGAGCACATTCTGCTTGTAAAAGAATTCCCATTCAGCTGAAGGGCTTGTGATGGCTTTATTAGTCTGCCTGTAATGCTTGGATTGCAAGAAATCACACAAGCGATTAATTCTCAGGGGCCCCTTTGCAAACGGGCTTGTGATTACAAGATGGTTCTGCTTGCACTCTGTGGCTGCACAGGCTATGTTCCTTTTAGATGACCATAACATGAACCAGCGGAGGGCTATCAGGAAAAAAGCTAGCCAGCAGCTGAAGGCTGGACTTTGCTTTTAACTACCTTCCTCCTTGCCAATTAATTTGATGGGAGATGAAGGATGGCAACTGGAATAATTGTTCTATTTGTTCAGCCTTTGCTGGTCTTTGCTTTGCAACAGCAGGGGGAAGGAAGTAGGGTTTGGCAGGCTAATTCTTGCAAATCTTAGTACAATTTCTTTGTGTAGGTGAAACAGGTTGGCAGTGCGTTGTTTGCTTTGTAGAGCTTGCTCAAAAGTCTTTTAGTGTTGGTTGTTTCAGACCAAGAAAGCCATTCAGGAAATTGGGGGGGGGGGAATGGCTGGTGACTTTCCTTCCCCGCTGAACATCAGCAAATTCAGGATTTGCCCTTTAGTTTGCTTCAGTTTCCCCCCCCCCTCACTCTGGCTGCGAGTGTGTCTTTTCTCCCTTGCTTGCTCTCCTCTTTCCATGGGAAAACTGGAAATTCTGACCCTAACCGATACATCCTTTCTTTTTTACAGGAGTGGCTGCAAGGTGAGAAAGTATGAATCTCATCCTTTGGCCCTGGATGCTTGTGCTCAGGTAAAGGTGTTCAGTTGCTCCTCTTTAGAACATGGCTGCGCTTGTATTGGAGGCGAAGAATCAAAGTATGGTGACTAGTTGTATGCAGGAGCAGCCAGGAACAAACTTGCCGGCCTCAGAGGTTGGCATTGTAAGACTTCCTGAAGACGAGATTGGGAGCATCCATCAGTGGCTGGTAGGATGAGTTAGAGAGGCTGGCTTGAAAAACTTAAACCAATTTTCCCAAACTTATTCCTTTATTACCTGAAGCTTCTTATTGGATAGATTTATTCAACTTCAAGGTCTGGTTATTATATGTCCCTTCCTTCAGCACCATTATAACTTTGAATTGTTGCTGAACAAACATGAGGTTATAACATGAGATCTATCTGTATTGTAAAACAGTATAACTGAATGATAGAACATGCTGATTTGGACATTCAGTAGTCCTGTGTGATAGGTCTACATCTATATCTGTAGTTATATTGTTTGTTGAAATGTTACCTACATGTCTTTGCTAGGTTAGATGTTTGAAAACCATTAAAATAAATTGCAAATTGTTCAAACAGCATTAATTAATTCATTCATTCATTTGTTCGTTCATTCAATTTTTATTCTGCCCATTTCCCCTACAAAGTGAGTCATTAAAGTGAGCATTAAAACTCAACAATCTGAAATGTTGGAAGAGCAAATAATTAAAACAGAGGTTCTTAAACTGAGAGAAATTATCAAGGAGATACTTGGGCATATCCTGGGGTAATGGAGCAATTTGTAATTTTTTATTTGTGAGTTGAGGATCAGATTTGAGATCGTTGTTGCTGAGATGGTTGCATAAAATAACATAATCTTGTGTTGTTGTTTGTGGGAATAATGACATTATTGGAGACCAGAAAAAGGGGTAACTGGGTCAAACAATTTAAGCAACTCTCCTCTGGTGAGGAGGCCGTAGGGGGAGGCAGGACTGGGGCGACAACACATGTGCCCACAGAGAGGGCTCTGAGTGCCGCCTCTGGCACGCGTGCCATAGGTTTGCCACCACTGGTCTATGTAATCAAGTTCTTATTATGTTATGCTGCATACATAGTCAAGGTTTGATTATTCTCAGTTTTAACTGCCCCCTTGTTTATACAGGGTGAAGATGAAGCAGCACTTATTTCCAAAATCCCAAATCTTCCCAGCCAGGACGGGCACGCTACCGATGAAGAGAAACTGGCTTCCACCGGTCAGAAGCCAGCTGAGCTGGAGGTAAAAGGTGAGCCCGAGGAAGACCTGGAGTATTTTGAGTGTTCCAATGTGCCCGTGTCTACCATAAATCATACGTTTTCATCCCCAGTAGAAGGTCCGGAAGCTTCTCTCATTATTTTATCTCTCTCTCTTGCATTAACAGACTAGTTTTTCGTCTTATCTGCCTTCCAAATTTGCTGAGTCACAATTCCCATGGCTGGTAGCACAGGCCTTGGCTGTCAGCAAGGGAAGTCTGCAAGTTCTTGTCCAGCACATCTGGAGGACAGATGCGGCAGGAGGCTACTGTATTTCAATAATGCTTGCATTCTGGGAGGGCCATCAGTTGTTGAGTGAAAAACTTTCTGAGTCATCGGATGCCTTTTTAATAAAACAAATGTACAGGTTGGGTTCGCTGAATGGGTCTATTCCCGAGGCCTTTAAGTGGGTACAGGCTCACTAATTGTTAGATAGTGGCATGTGAGCAGGCACACACACACACACACCTGGAAAACCTGCGTCAATGAGTAATATAGTTGTAAAACCTATAAAAGAAACCCAAAGGTGCTTTTTCAAAAGTCAACTGGACTTTCTTGTTTTTTTTTACTTTGAAGACTTTTCGCTTCTCATCCAGGAAGCTTCTTCAGCTCTGCCTAGATCAGTGGTTCTCCACCTGTGGGTCGGGACCCCATTTGGGGTCGAACGACCATTTCACGGGGGTCACCAAACAATGCAGTCCGCCATTTTTTTCCCCTTTTCCTTAGCTGTGCTACTCCCTTTTATTCTATTGGCTTTTGAAAGCCAATAGAAGAGACTCTCTTGAATAGAGTCTAATTCTATTGGCTTTCAAAAGCCAATAGGAATTGTCCAGGCTGGCTCTGCCCTGCTGAGCCTGCCAAAAGTCCCATTCTGCAAACGGTGCTGCACCAGTTGAGTAGTCCTCAATGTACAACCGGTTGAGTAGTCCTCGATGTACGACCAGTTGAGTAGTCCTCGACTTACGACCAGTTGAGTAGTCCTCAACTTACGATCGGTTGGGGGTCACGGCATTAAAAAGGTTGAGAACCACTGGCCTAGATGGTGGGAAATGGAAGGATTTATGCTCTTTGCAGACAGCTGGTCAAAAAAAGAATGCAAATGATGCAAATCCTTCCATTCCCCACCGTCCAGTCAGCTGAAGAAGCTTCTTGGATGAGAAGCAAAACGTCTTCAAAGACAAAACAAGAAAATCCATTTGACTATGGAAAAAGCACCTTTGGGTTTCTTTTATAGGCTTTACAGCTATATTAGTTATTGATGCAGGTTTTCCAGGTGTGTGTGTGCCTGCTCACATGCCAATATCTAACAGTTAGTGAATCTATACCCACTTTAAAGTCCAGTTGTCTCTTGAAAAATCATCTTTGGGACAACAACAGCCTGGAAGACCAAGAATCTCCACAGACACCTGTAAAAGAGACTTGAAAAAATGAGCCAAGGAGAGTTTAATATTTAATTCTTCTCCAGCAAGATTTCAGATTGTCTCCCCCCCAAATCCCAGCAGCCTTTGTTCTGACGTTCCCAAGAGAATGCCGCCAGTTGTAAATAGGCTGGCAGTGTAGAAATAACTCTGATGGTCTCACAGCGTTGTTCTGGTTCCTTGCGCTCGACGCAAAAGCAGGCGTGCTTTTAGCGGAACGCAGGGCCATCTCCATTCCATGCAGGGCAGGCTGTTTGATGGCTGGTGGCTATACAGCAGCAATTTTGAGAGCCTGTTGTGTGCACTCTCACAAAAGTGTTCATATGGGAAGCTGAAAAAACCCTGAAGCAGCCTGAGACAAATACAGGCAGGCCTTGACTTAGGACCACCATTGAGCCCAAAATTTCTGTGGCTAGGCGAAAAGTTGTTAAGTGAATTTTGCCCCGCGTCACGGCCTTCCTCCCCACAGCTATTAAATGAATCACTGCAGTTGTTAAGTTAGACACACAGTTGTTAAGTGAATCCGGCTTCCCCATTGGCTTGGCTTGTCAAAAGGTCGCAAAAAGGAGATCACGTGACCCCGGAGGCTGCAACCGTCATACATATGAACCAATTGCCAAGCTGGTTTGAACATTGATCACGTGACCACAGGGATGCTGCAACACTTGTAAGTGTGAAAAACAATCCTAAGTCACTTTTTTAAACTGCTGTTGTAATTTTGAACGATCACTAAATGAACTGAGGACTAACTGTAGAACAGTTACTTGTTCTTCCAAAGTGGGGCTCACAAAGAGAGGTAGTAGGGCAACAGGACCTGTTCAGTAGATTTGGGGGAACCTAGATAAAAGAATCCACGACACCAAGGTTGTGGCCTGACAGTTGTAAGGGTGAGTACATGTCATCGGTTCCCTTTTCCCAAGGCTGTTGTAACTTCGAACCTTTGTGAAAGGAACGGGTGTTAAGTCAAGGCTTTCCTTTATCATGGGAGAGGAGAATATTTTGCATTGCCCCGGAATATCACCTGCTTTTTGTTCTGAATGCAGCAGTTCAGTTCAAAGCCTCGGTCCCTCAAAGGTGCGTTTTCAAGAGGCAACTGGACATTCTTGTGTTTCTTTGAAAATGCTTTCCAAGAAAAACAATTAAGTCCAGCTGTTTCTTGAAAAAGCACCCTTTGAGACAACCAGGACCTGGATGACTAAGAATCTCCATAGATAAAGTCTGGGACAAGTCCCACGCCCCCCCCCCCCAGTGTTTTCCCATCTTTGAGGAATGGTCAACATTGTAGGCAAAGCTTTCTTGGAAGTAAAAGACTTCTGAAAAAAGGAGATAAATCAAAGATAACAAAGGAGAATTCTTTGGCTGACTGCCTTGCATTTCAAAGGGTGCAATTCCTTGTGTTTATCCAGTTGATAGGAATAAAAGGAGTTATGTGGGGCAGCTCTGTTCAGTCAACCTTGTCTGGGGTGAGGCTGGCATTCTTGTCAATCACAAAGGGAGTCAACAGCTGCTGTGGACAAAGATCAGTAGGATGGGGCATCAAAGATCAAGGGAGCAGCTGGGAGAATGGACAACATGTCAGTGATTTTTCCTATAGGAACAGTCTGGCGGGATTGCACTCAAGTGTGCAGGGGGAGAGGCTCACGTACAATCTTTCCTAAAAAAAAATTTCTACACGTGCTGAAATTTGCAGAAAATCTGATTCAGGTTCACATGGAATTATTATTATTGTTGTTGCTTGAGGCACAAATATCAAACAGTGGTGTCCTGCTGTTTTCTGTCCCATCAGTTGTGATAATGGTGTGCCTAGAAGGTTTTCTGGGTATACCTCGTTGGTGTTTCTGTAGGATGGTGTCCCTAGGTCTCCGAATTTGGATCATTGTCCACTGTCCCCCAGCTCCATCTCTTGGTTTAACAAGAGTCTGCCCCAAACTCGACTGATTGTCACTTGGGAGCATTCCAATCTTCATTCAGTGACAATCCTCCTTGAGTTTCATATTCCTCTCTTTCAAGTAGTGTCATAAAGTAGCACATTGCAAGCCTCTTTATAAATCCTGTTATTTCACCAGGAAGAACCTTGTTGACATAATGTGTAATCTCCGTATGTTCTTTTGCTGTAGGTTCCGAGAAGGAATCTTTGTGCAAATTGGAAGGGAAGACTAACTCCACTGAGATCTCAGTAAGCCCAAGTATTGTTCTTATCCTTTGTGTCCAAAATCGTGGACCACTCTTTCTGCTAAATTCCTTTCCCCGGCATCTATTTTTACTACATTTTCATCTGTGCCTGGAACAGCAGAATATGTTGTAGTTCAATCACTGCCTTCACCTTATGTTATGGTGTTGACGTAAATGTCATAATTATGTCAGTTGTGCAATAATGTCCTTTAAATATGATGCACAGGTAGTCCTCAGCATATGACCACAATTGAGCCCAACATTTTTGTTGCTAAGGGAGACAGTTGTTCAGTGAGTTTTGTCCCATTTTATGACCTTTCTTGCCACAGTTGTTAAGCAAATCAGCACACATGTTAAGTTAGTGACACAGTTGTGAAGTGAATCTGGCTTCCCCCATTGACTTTGCTCATCAGAAATCGCAAAAGGTGATCACATGACCCTGGGACACTGTAACCGTTATAAGTACAAGTCAGTTGTCAAGCATCTAATTTTGATCCCCTGACCATGGAGATGCCGCAACAGCTGTAAGTGTGAAAAAATGATCATAAGTCCCTTTATTTCAGTGCCGTTGAAGCTGTGAACGGTCATTAACTATCCGTATATCACAGTGGACTTTGATCTGCTATGTGCCAAGTCGAGATCTGGAAAACATGAGAGTTTGCTATATAATAAAATTAAATATAGTATAATAATAAGAGCAATGCAGGATTTTGCAAAGGATGTGAACATTTTTCCCAGGGAGGTGGTGGTTAACAGCTAGTATTCCCAAAATGTTTGTTTTAAACTAAAGTTCTTTCATTTCATCTCTCTCATTTGCAAAATGCTGACATGGGACAAGACATGAATTAAGTTATATAAGAAATGTGCTACCTTTACAGAGACCTCTGCTGACAGCTGAACTGTGCTGCAGCTAGATTAGAACAGAAAGGTTGCTTATTCTTAGATGATTCATTCCTAGCAGCGTGGGGCAAAGTTGATCTCTGAATAGCAAGCAACTTCGTTATTATTCTGATCCCTTTTTCCCAGTCCACTTCCCCAGAGTTTCCAACAAAAGATTGCCTGTTTGTTCTTAAGATCAATAGAAATACAAAGTAGAGTGGGTGAGACCTCAGAAAGGGTGCAGAGAAGAGCAACAAAGACGATTGGTGGACGAGCAGTTGTAGGAACTGGGGAATGTCTAACCTAACGAAGAGAAGGACTACTAGGTGATATAAAGCCTGTTTTCTAATATTTAAGAGGCTGTCACAGAGAAGCAGGGGTTGGCCTAGTCTCCAAAGCAGGACAAGAAGTAAAGGCTGGAAGCTTATCAAAAAGAGAGATGCAACATAAAGTTAAGGAGAAATATTGTTATTAGTGAGAACAATTAATCAGTAGAATGGCATGCCTCCAGAAGTTATGGGTGCTCCATTACCGGAGGTTTTTAAGAGGAGATTAGACAGCCATTTATCTGAAATGGTTAGGGTCCCCTGCTCAAGCAGGGGGTTGGACTAGAAGACTTCCAAGATCCCATTCAACTCTGTTATTCTGTATTCTGTATAAATGGTCAGTTGGGTATGTAATGCTTAATTTACATGATATTTGAGAATATTTTGAAAAACCAGAATCTTGGTGTTTTGTTTTGTTTTCAAATGATGTGGTCTTGTAAAGGGATATATTCCATTTATTTCACAAAAAGGGTCACCGTCCTATCAGGTCCCAGTCACAGTTATCCTACACAAAGATTCAGATTCAGAATTCTAAATTTGGAATCAACTATGTTACATTTATATAAGTATAAATCCAAATAGCTGGAGGAGATGACCAGGCTGAGCCCAAGAGAGGGATCAAGCACGGTCATCTCCATATCCCTTCACAGCATTTCCCGTTTTCAAAATCCCAATAGATAAATCAATGTCGAGTGTTAGAGTTGTCCTAATGGCAAATTTGGACCAACCCAACTCCAGAATTCAAGGTTATCATTTGGACTCTTAGTTTGGGCATCTCCAATTCAGGCAGAACCTGAGAGTTAGTTCACCTCAGTCACATGATAATAACTCTGTTATCAAAAGAGGAGACAGGTAGCAATCATGTCTCTCACACAAAAGAGAAGGCCATCTAACCCATTGCATATCTCGGGTGGGAGAAAAAGCCACAAGAACTTGAGCAGTGATTGCATTGTCAATAAGACAGTTACTAGAAGTCTTTCCTGTGGCTTGCAAACTTTTCTACAACACTTTGACAGAAGTTTCTTGGGTTTTGTGGCTCTGTTGAACAGATGGTCTGGCAGGAGAAACTGGGTAGAACTCAGAAAGGGCTGGTTTGTGTTCTGTTGTGACTCGGTCTTTCTTTTCACAGAGTGATCCTGAACTATGTTCAGTGGAAAAGGCTCCTGGAAGTACACCAGCCAGCCTGAGGGGAGGGGCTGAAAGTCCCCTGGATGCCATTTGCCTCAGTGAATCTGACAAGACAGCAGTGCTGACTCTGATCAGAGAAGAGGTAACAGGCTGATGGTGTGATGTGGTCTGGATGATAGTAATATGGGGGCTCTTCGGTGGGACCGAAAGGGCTTGATCAACAGGCACTGGGACAAGCAAAGTGCCCCCTTTTTAAAAAGGAAAAACTCTTTTGCGTTTTTCAGAGACTAACATGGCTTTTTTTTTAAGGTTATCCCACACATTCTGGGTGCTTCTATGATGAAGGCAGGGCGCCCTTGCTTTGCTTCACTGCCCATAGAATCACAGGTGGCCTTTAATTGCAGGTTGGGACAACAATGGAAATGGGTTTAACCTAATCAATTTAAATCAGCTAATTAAATATCATTAATTATTCCTGTTGACTTTAGTGGCTTTAGCTTTTTGAAGGGTATCTCTCCGGCGTGAAGAATCAGGACCACATATTGAGTTCCTGATTTATTGCTCAGGCTTATACATAAGAATCTAGTCAACTGTCGGCACTAAATCAGTGCTGGACTGGGATTGCTTGTGAGAACATAATGATTCCAGGATGATTCCTCTCTTGACCCCACTCTGTCTCTGCTATTCCTTCTCCTACAGTATCAAAGGCTGGAGAGAATTGCATGCAGCCCTAGGACTGGAATTGGGGTATATATGGCTCAGAGTAGAATCTCTTTGGATTAGCAAGTCATCCATAGTTTTTGAATGGTTGAGCTGACAAATATTTTTGGGATATTGTCAGAATCCTTTAGGATTGGGGAAGATAATACAAATATTCTGACTTCCTGCCCTACCTTGCCCTATAGAATTAGGATTTTCTATCTGCCTGTTTCTTTATTTCAGACTTCCTGCTTCAGTTTGACATTGAGGAGAAGTCCTCCTTAGAACTAGGGCCAAAATTCAGTTCTATCCTTGAGGAATGAAGGCTGATGTCAAAATTAGCCAAAGATATCAAAACTATTAGCAGTTTGATACAAATGGAGCCTGGGACTATCAGTTACCTTCTAGTTTTAGCTGGGATGACTTATAGTGTGCTGATGCTTTTAATTAAGAAAAGTCCTCTTGTAACCAGAAGAGACATCTCATCATCTGGCAGACCTTCCCTAAGCAGGTCTATCCATTACTTACAGTACATCATATCTAGATCTTCTGGAAAGATAAAAATTGGTAGCCTGGCATTTTAGCAAAGGACGACTCTCTTAATGTCCAACTAAACATCAGACAGAATCCACAGATGTATTTGCAGGTGACAGAGCTGAACTACCACTACATGTCACTCCTCTCCACCTCCTCCTGATAGCTCCACCACATTTCTTTCAGAGGGCTGCCTTCTCAAAACTAATAGCCGCATTTTATATTCATATTTTTAGATTATCTCTAAGGAAATTGAGGCCAACGAATGGAAGAGAAAATACGAAGGAAGTCGGCAGGAAGTTTTGGAAATGAGGTAAAAAGAACTCCACCTAATTCCATCTCGTTTCACCTTGTTCACAAGTGCGCAGCCATAGATCATTATGGAAGCCTCATAGAGATTGGAAGATTCATTTATTGACTGAGTTAATAGAGACTGTTCATCATATTAAAGAATTTGCAATACAGTCAGTTGTTGTCAGGTGCTAGAAGTCAGGAGCCAGGACAGAGTTCAAAAGTACTACATGTTTATTTCATGCTACCTATACACAAATATCTGAACTACTAACTGTCAAGGTGAATTGCTGCCAGAGAAGAGTCAACGGACTTCAAGGAAGGAGATGGACCTTGGTCTCTTATGGGAGCAGAGAGACACCAAACTTATGATACGTTTGAACCCATCCTCTGGCTCAGCCTGGTCATCTCCTACCATTGCAATCGGTTCCCTTAACCAGAATTTAAAGGCTGCCATGGCTTTGACTGGTTCTTATAATCTGATAACGAAAATGCTGCCTCTTCAGGATAACATACTATGAATTCAAGACATTGAGGCCATTTTCCACATGGATAAATATAAAGACAGTGAAGCAAAGAGTAAGATCTTCAACTGAAGATCTTCAATCTGAGTGTTGATTGGGTTAGTGAAAATGGAGCATCCTGAAGGATGATGGGAACTAAAAACCACCATATTTGGAGAGCTTGTCAGATTGAGGAAGGCTGGGGTAGATTTTGAAGTTGCTCAAGTCACAGAACTAACTGGGGTGTTCTCAGTCTAACCTCCAAGAATAACTTTTGACAGGGTTTGAGGGAGAAAATCCTGGATTGGCCACTAAGAGAGAAGACAGGGAGACCAAACTCAACCCTCAAATTTTGTTGGGAGAGTTTGGGCGGTCAATGCGGTCTCCCTCAGAAAATTCCTACAAGGCGGAAACTGAAGAAGCATGCACTTTTCTTTTGAAAGGAAGTGGTACAAAATTAGACAAATAAGTGAATCAAATCCACCAAATATTCCAGCCTGCTTTGACATCTTGCTTTGAAAACCAAACCAGTTGATAGTGAAGCAGGTGCCCCTTTAATAATCCTTAAGTACCTTTACATACATTTGATTATGGAAGCTATTTGCAAGGAAAAGACACCAATGAGCGATGTTTGACATTCCTTCTCCAGTCTGGTGGCTCTCCAGATATGCTGGGTCAAAACGTCTAGTATTCTGAACTGGCATGTCCAGTCATCTAGCACCAGGGTGAAGTAGCTCGCCTAAGTAGGAATATACTGAAAAAAAAATTGCTGGAAAGAACAGCATGTCAAAAGCCTTCAGGTTTATAAGAGAAAGAACATTAATGACATTTCTATTACACATATCTTTACTTCTGTCTCCTCTTTAGGAAGATTGTGGCTGAATATGAGAAGACAATTGCACAGATGATAGGTAAGCAACTGCCAAATGCCAGACATTCACCAGAAAATTAGTGGAAGGAACAAATAAAGAAGCCAGCATGTTCCATTTCACACCTGCAAACTTTCAGCCCAATAATTGTTTTAGAGCTTCTTCTTGTGTTTGTAGAGCAGGGATTTCAAAGTACTGGTCCGCGGGCTGGATGTGTCATGACGAAACCGCACCCATCCCATTGCCAGCAATGGCAAAAAAGTTGCAATATGTCACGACACGTCATGTGACATTGTGAGTTTGACACCCCTGTTGTAGAGTGTCTTCTCTAATTTTCGTAATGTGCAGAAAATGGAGAGAGACTATTTATATTTGTGATGCCTTGCCTGTAGATTCTGTAAGTGGACTACAAATAGGAGACAGAGCTAAGAGTAGGAAATGATGGGGTGGAGAAACACAATCTGCACCAATTAAAGACAGGGGTTTTTCCCCCCTTAGGTATAAATTAAGAACCTTGCCTATGACTTGAGCGCATGACTCAAACTGCATAACTCTAGCTTTTCAGGTGGTGTGTACTTGGCTTGCTCATATTTGCAACAGAAGACATGTCCTCTGCTCTGTCAATCTCTTACTTGTAACACAGGTGAAATACTAAACAAAGAGTCCAAAGAGATCCTGTAGTTTGGAAAAAAAATGTTTTGAGGAACTCCAGTAAAACTTATCTTTATCCGCCACTCTTTATATGTTCCATTTAGATTGTGGAATTAAAGTGGAAGAAATTCCTAGCCTGCGGATCAGCAACCTATACCTCCAGCCACCCCCTTTGCACCTCCTCCGAATAGATGGGGCTGAATATTTTGCATCCTTTTCTCCCTGGGATATGTGTGTGTTTGTGTTAATGGACAAAACCGCTATTTAATTTTTGCAAAGGCTGGAGGCACCAACTGCATTCCTTAGAATCTGAAATTCCCGGAACAAGCAACCTGATTTTTTTGTTTTGTTTTGTTTTCTGTTTTGAGGGTGGTTTGATGGGTCGAGCAGCAAGGTGGCCTGGTGGTGAAAATGCTCGACTCCCACCTGGAAGGTCGAGAGATGAATTCTGGGTAGTGCCAGATATTTCTCTCTTAGGGCACAAAGAAAAAAAATATGTGCTGCAAACTCCACATGGCATCAGGAAGAGCATCGGGCCAGTAAACACTCAACTCCATTCACTCCCTTGACTCTACCTTGAATTAAGGGATTGGAGCAGGGGTCCCCAACGCCCGGGCCATGGACTGGTACCGGGCCGTGGCATGCCAGCAACCGGTCCGCACAAACAAGGAAAGCCCCATCCACGAGATGCAGGCAGCACACAAAACCACGCACCCTCCGGTCTGTGGGAAAACCTCTCTCCACAGAACCGGTCCCTGGTGTTCAAAAGGTTGGGGATCTCTGGATTGGAGGGTTGTAAAAAGGAAGGAGGTAGGGGTTTGTTTTTTTTAGCATGGTTTGATCGGTAAAACCCTTCTCTTTCCCAGCATAGCCGCCAAATGTGGTGGATTTCCCCTTCCAGGATTCCCACCATAACCATGTAGATATAGAAACGGGAAGTTGAAGTCCACACATTTGGAGAATGCCCACGTTTGGAAGACTAGCTTTAAACAATACTTTGCCTCTTAAAAAGCTCTCAGTAGGAAGATAGATAGATAGATAGATAGATAGATAGATAGATAGATAGATAGATAGATAGATAGATAGATAGATAGATTCTGCTCACACTAGAACACTCCCTGCAACCCATAAAGGAAAGCACCTCCTGAAGCTGTTTGCTCTCTTCTGCTCTACTTGATGTCTCTTAGCTAAAGGCCTGGTTGAAGCAGAGCTATCATCCCCCTTTGCCTTTGATTTCACAGAGGACGAGCAGAGAACCAACATGGCATCCCAGAAGGGTCTCCAGCAGCTGACCATGGAGAAAGAACAAGCCTTGTCTGACCTGAATTCGGTGGAGAGATCTCTGTCCGATCTATTCAGGAGATACGAGAATCTGAAGGGAATCTTGGAAGGTTTCAAGAAGGTCCTTCCTTTATTTGGAAAAGTCTCTGTTTTTTCCTGTGGGTTTTCCTTCACTGAAAGGCCAGGGATGCACAATTTAAGGGCTGCCAGTGTATTGGCTGCAGCACTGGAAATCTTATACACCCCCAGCCAAAATATTGCTTTTGATGTGACCGAAACATGGGGAGTACTCACATTAGGTACTGTTGATGAATTTAATTTGAATTTGAACTAAATTTTAATTGCAGGAGATTAAATGTGGGTTTTGTACCAGTCTTCTTTCTGTTTTATCCTGGCCCTGTATACCTTCTGGAGGCTGCCCATATAAATGCTATTCTCTAGAGTTTTCAAGATGCCTCCATCCTCTTGACAGCAAAAGCACCTAGACTTATATACTGCTTCATAGTGCTTTACGGCTCTCTCTAAGCGGTTTACAGAGTCAGCATATTGCCCTTAACAATCTGGGTCCTCATTTTACCTCATGGAAGGCTGAGTCAACCTTGAGCCAGTCAGGATCAAATTCCTGACTGTGGGCAGAGTTAGCCTGCAATACTGCATTCTAACCACTACACTTGATGGAGAGGAATTGTGGCTCAGGGCTAAAAAATTGGCTTTGCTTGGTTACATCTTCTGCTATATCGACCAGGTGATGGCAATGAGAAGCAACTCAACCACAGAACTTCTACCTTTTAGAAGAATCAGTATGAGATAAGATAGAACAGATAGGCTGGGTTCACATATCAATCCATAAGTTACCAAAATGTGGTCCAAAGAATAAACAAAGTTTGTTTCATCTACAGAATACGTTATTCCAAAATAAATCACACCGTTGCTACCTGGAATAAGCAACGAAGAATAGGCAAAGTTTGTTTCATCTACAGAATGCGTTATTCCAAAATAAATCACACCGTTGCTACCTGCAATAAGCAACGGTGTGATATATTTTGGAATAACACATTCTGTGGATGAAACCAACTTTGTTTATTCATTGGGATCACCTTTTGGTAACTCATGGATTGATGTGTGAACCCAGCCTATCTGTTCTATCTTATCTCATATTGATTCTTCTAACAGATAGAAGTTCTGTTGCTTCTCAGTGCCCATCACCTGGTTGATATAGCAAGGACTTCTAATGTCCCTCCAACCTTAAGGAAGAATGGTTATAGGTCTGGAAGGAAACATATCTCTCTATGTAAGATCCCATGTTCTGTTTCCTGAATCATTGGTTAAGGGTCCTCAAGTAGAATTTGCGAGAGGCAGGCTGGAATTCTGTCCCAACTCCAAGATGTAACTTGTTGGGCTTTTTGCAGTGGGTGAATTGAAGCATTGTGGTTTCTGAGTGATGGTTCCTAGCCAAGCCAAGCTTCCCTTTTCCTTCTAGAATGAAGAGGCCTTGAAGAAGTGCGCTCAAGATTACCTCAATCGCGTCAAGCAAGAGGAGCAGCGCTACCAGGCCTTGAAAATCCACGCAGAGGAGAAGTTAGACAAGTAAGGCCAATAATGGCACTTTCTCTGCTTCATGCCAATCCATACAGGTAGCCCTCGACTTACAACAGTTTGCTTAGTGACTGTTCAAAGTTGCAACAGCACTGAAAAAAGGGACCTATGACTGTTTTCCTCATTTACAACCACTGCAGCATCCCTGTGATCACGTGCTCAAAATTTGAACGCTTGGCTCCTGGCTCATCTCTATGACCATGGCAGCGTCCCAGAGGGTCATGTGAGTCTCCCTTTTGCGACCTTTTGGCCAGCAAAATCAGTGGGGAAGCCTGATTCACTTAACAACCGGGTTACTAACTTAACAACTGAAGTGATTGACTTAACAACTCCAGCAAGAAAGGTCGTCAAATGGGGCAAAACTCACTTAGCTGTCTCACGTAACAACAGAAATTCGTGGTTGTAAGTTGAGAACTACCTATAACAGAAGGCCTCATGCCAAAAAAAGGAGCCGTGGAAGTGTCAGGCTGGCACGCTTTCCTACTCAACACAACGGTTCCTCTCAAATGATGCAAAAGAAAACAAGGCCAGCGGTTTGATCTTACATGGGAACTGGGAATGGGAGACAAGTAATCCTTGTCTCAGGATCACAGTTGAGGCCAGAACTTCTGTGGCTATGTAATGCGGTCCTTAAAGGAGTCACACCCAATTTTACAACCTTTTGTGCTGTGGTTGGTAAATGAACCTGACTTCCCCCATTGACTTCACTTGTCAGGAGCCAGCCTAAATGTTGATCATGTGACCCCAGGATGCTGCAGTTGTTGTAAGTGCGTGCTGGTTGCCAAGTGCCGAAATTTTGGTCACTTGACTGTGAAAGTGCTCGTGCAATGGTCATGAGTACCAGTTGTAAGCCAGTGATTTTCAACACCGTTGTAACTTCAGAAGTTTGCCAAAGAAGATTACCTGTATAGTGGTACTTCAGTACACATCGTTAATTGGTTCTGGGAGGCAGGATGAGTACCAAAAATGATGAGTACCAAACAAATTTTTCCGATAAGGAATGATGTAGTGAGTCACAAGGCAGCCAACACCAACATGTTCACCAAACCAACGATGAGTACTGGGAGAAAATGTTTATGTCATAATGCATTGAGTACCAAATTCGATGAGTTTCAAAGCAGCTAGTTGAGTAAGAAGATGCCGCTTTATTCAACAAATTACAGAACTTTTCTTTTTACACCCATCCTCTCTCCCCCTCTCGCTCCCTCTCCCTCTTTTTTTTATTCCTGTGCCCCCTCCCCTTTATTCCAGAGCCAATGAAGAGATTGCTCAGGTGCGTACGAAGTCCAAAGCTGAGAGTGCAGCTCTCCATGCCGGACTTCGAAAAGAACAAATGAAGGTCGACTCTCTTGAAAAGACCCTCCAGCAGAAGGTGATTCTCCCCCATCCCCTATCATCTCTTTCTAAACTTCACTCGCTTTCCCTGCGGGTGAAGATTGTCTAAAATTTACTCTACGTTTGTCCTGGAACTGGGTCAAAACAATGACCATTGCGTTTCAGAACATTCAGCCTTGATGGGACTGAATACCAGACATGCCTAAGGAGTTGAATCACTCAAGTTTCTTTCTCGTTGTTGTTAGCTGGTGGGGTGCCTGTGTATTGTTGTATCCATCAAACAAATTAAAGCTCGAAAGATTTCCAGTGCTCCCTGCCAGATTACCACAAGTCAGTGGGGAAGCCAGCAGGAAATCAGAAGTTGCTCCTGCTGAATCAGAATTCCTGCTTTTTTGCCCATCCTTAGTCAGTCAGTTTCTCGATTTATCTAAGGAAAGATCTCTGAAACAATGACCCAAGGAGGCTCAGGTTATCATTATTTACTTAAAGCTTAAAAAAACTCTTAACCTGTAGCAAGAGGAATGCAGTTGCATTCATCACAAGCTTTAGATGGGAGTTGCTTTAGTTTCTGAGTCACTGCTGGATTGCGGTGTTTTTTTTGTCCACGCTTCCTGCTTTAGTGTGTCACATGAATAAATTATAGGCAGTCCTCAACTTAATAATGGTTCAGTTAGTGACCATCCAAAGTTACAAGCACTGAAAAAATGTGATTTATGACCTTTTTTGACGCTTATCGCCGTTGCAGCATCCCTGTGGTCACGTGATCAAAATTCAGATGCTTGGCAACTGGTTCATATTTATGATGGTTGTAGTGTCCCAGAATCATGTGATCAGCTCTTGCAAACTTCTGACAAGCAAAGTCAATGGGGAACCCAGATTTCCTCAACAACTGTGTTTCCAACTTAAGAACTGCAGAGCCACATCTGTGGCAAGGAAGGTCATAAAGTGGTGCAAAACTCACTTCACAAATGTTTCACTAGGCAACATAAATTGGGGGGCGGGTTCAATTGTGGATGTAAGTGGAGAACTACCTGTACGGTGCAACCCAGCCTCTCTTTCAAATGCAGTCAATGTACATCAGGGCATAATTTAGTAACTGCAGAAAAGTGAGTATTTTAAAAGCTCATATTCATGGGACTAGGCTGCAGAAGTCATACAACCGTCTACCCCAGGAGTAGGCAATCTTGGCTCTTTTATGACTCGTGGACTTCAACTCCCAGAATTCCTGAGCCAGCCATGCTGAGGGGAAAGGGAGAGGTTTCCAAGCTGGGCCATGCTGGCTCAGGAATTCTGGGAGCTGAAGCCCACGAGTCATAAAAGAGCCAAGATTGCCTACCCCTGTCCTAAGTCCTCCTTGTTCTAAGCGGTGAACCTCCTAGTCCAGGGGTAGGCAACCTTGGCTCTTTTATGACTTGTGGACTTCAACTCCCAGAATTCCTGAGCCAGCATGGCTCAGCATGGAAACCTCTCCCTTTCCCCTCAGCATGGCTGGCTCAGGAATTCTGGGAGTTGAAGTCCATGAGTCACGAAGGGGCCAAAGTTTTCCTCATGCTGGCTCAGGAATTCTGGGAGTTGAAGTCCACGAGTCACAAAGGAGCCAAAGTTTCCCTCATGCTGGCTCAGGAATTCTGGGAGTTGAAGTCCACGAGTCTTAAAAGAGCCAAGGTGGCCTACCCCTGGTCTTCTCAAATGAAGGCTTTAAATCAAATATTTATCAAACAGAAATGAAATTTAAATTTAAAAATAAGAGATTATTCTCATCTGCACAGCTATTTTGATTCAAATTGAGCACTGAGCTCCAGAAACAAATTGCAAATTAGACAACCCCCCTCCCTCACCCCTCCGCCCAATTCTCAAAGATGGAGATTGGACCTTCACAGATTTTTATCTTACAAGCTACTTCGCTCTGTCTGATTCAATAGTGATGGCAGGAAGCAGGTTGCAGAACTGGTTCTGAGCTTTGAGAACCCTCCCACCACGTATAACAGTGATAAATGTGGGGCACGTACAATCTGATTGCATTTTGTGCATGGAGGAGAACTAAGATCCAGGAGAATGGGTTGGACTGGCTGTCATGCATTATGGGGATAATTCTAATTTGCATCATCAGAGAAGGTTGTAGGTAATCAGTACTTCACTTCTGGGTTTTTCTTTATCCGTTTTCATTTATTTTTTGCAGAACCAGGAAATTGAAGAGCTGACCAAGATCTGTGACGAGCTAATTGCCAAGTTAGGAAAGACCGATTGATGACCCAACGTCTATCATCTTGGTTTCTCCCTGCTGTCTGTCTGTATCTTCCAGCAAGCATCTTGCCTTACTTTCTTTCCAGAAATAATCTTTTCCTTCTTCACGGCAGCAAGAAAAAGCACATGCTTCTGTTATCAAAGGACTACCATCTGCAAGAGAACTGATGATTGCCCGGTGCTCATTTCCTGCTGTGTAAACCTCCTTTGTCTATTCAGTATTTGCAGGCTCTCCTGACTGCATGAAGCCAACGGACAGAAGCAGGGACACAATGTTGATGGTTTTGCACAGAAGAGTTTCTGCACTTGGTTGAGGCTTTGGCCCACAGAAGCTGCTGTATCAGTGCCTCAAGGACAGTCACCTACAGAGAGAGCAGCATTGCAGATAATTCAGTGTGAAGACCAGCTTAATTGAATACGTTCCCCTGCTTGCACTAGTACCATCCCAGGAAGGACACAAGTGGAATATGATTTCAGCTGCCTCTAAAAGCACAAGGGGCAAAGCCAAGGCAGAGGCCATTGTTCCTCAAAGGGAAAATGTCCAGATGAAAAGGAATTAGTATTCCTGGGAGCATGGCATCTTTGCAAATCGCAGTTAGCCATGGAGAAAAGGAACTCCTTGTCTTGACCCACACAGAGCTTGAGGCGCCTCGATTCATGGTGTCATGAGCTGTGTAAATCTGAAAATATAGGCCACGAGAAATCCACAAATCCTACAGGCAGCCTTCAGAGTCCTGCGTGGTTACAAGACATGAGGACTTTGAGTTTAGCTGTTCTCCCAGCCATGGTGGCGCCAGATTGGGGGGTTTGGGATGCTGGAATCTGCCTCTCTGAAAAGCACTTGGGATGGGGAAGTTAATATAAGGTGCCACGAGTCTCTTAAAAAAGGTTTGGGATTTGACGTAGTGCACTTTAAGGCAACAGTAAGAATGTAGCGGTCCACCATTCACCTGAAGAGAACATGCACAGAGTGAACATAAATGAAGAAGAGCAACTGTTAGAAATCCCTAAAGACAACACGCAGAAACCCACACACAGACCCAGCACAAACACACACACACACACCAACCATTCCTTGTGTTAGCAGCCATGAGTCTCTACAAGAGGTACGGCCAGCCGGTTTGGGATTTGACGTAGTGCACTTTAAGACAACAGCAAGAGTGTAGCGGTCCACCATTCACCTGAAGAGAACATGCACAGAGTGAACATGAATGAAGAAGAGCAACTGTTAGAAATCCCTAAAGACAACACGCAGAAACCCACACACAGACACAGCACACACACACACACACCAACCATTCCTTGTGTTAGCAGCTTTCTCTGTCCAGACAAAGAGCAGGGAATGGAACACAACGGAGAGCAAGTGAAGAAATACACATCAAATCTCCTTCTTCCAAGTTCTGATGACTGAAGCTTCTTCCCATGCCTTTTTTTTTCTTTTTGGGATATAATTTCAAAAACTAAAATCATTTGCAAAGAACATTCCCTACTCATAGTTGAGATCATTCAAACGGATATCTGACCAGGAACTGCAATTGTCCTGGCAAGTTTTGCGATAACCACAAAAATGTCATCAGCCAAGTGTTCTTGCCTTTGGGCTTGAGACCTTTTCAGATTTTCCCCTTTTATGGTGAAACATCGGACCCTTGTGATTAATCCACTAAGGAACTCTCAGAATTGATATTCATAAAGGCCCCAAGTTGCTCCAATCCAGATCTTGGAGCTGCCGGTCCCAGAACTGAGATTCATAATTGCAACACATCTACAAGGTGCCCTTTGGGATGGCTGGTGTGAACATTTTGTTGTATCATGTTGGTGTTGGCTTCTTGCCTACTCTGGCTGTATCAAGTAAACAATGGAGATTTTTCTCTGCCTGCGGATTCAAAGCTTGCGGTGACCAGGTATTGAAATTCGTAGCACAGATCCTCTATGGCTATTCCACTTGGGCTGATTTTTTCATGAAGTCTTGCTGTAAAAAGGGAGTTCCAGAGATCAATCCATTCTGTGGATTGTTGTCTTTCTTAGTCACACATGGAGAGAAGCTACACTAGGGAACCATCCAAAGCCATCATGCATGGAGAGAAAAGCTCCATTTCTGGGGTCTATCAAAATGGTCCATGTCTCCATCTTGCAATTTCTGAACATGTTGTGAGGGTTTTAGGCTATTTTCTCCAAGCTATTGCTCTCCAGAACTGTTGTGTGGCAATGTCCACTATTCCCAGCCAGTGCTGGCTGGAAATAATTGGAATTGTGGTGCAACACACCTAGAGAGGACCCAATGAGAAGCTTCTAGCCTTCAGAGATACAGAATGAAATCTCTCATCCGACCAATACAAACCCCTCTATTTCTGAGGGGGATGTGCCATTCCTGAGTAGGAACTCTACTTTCAAGCATGTTTGAAACCACTTTCTCATACTGATGTCTCATGAGATTATCTTTCAACTGAAAATTGTCCTCTGCACTTTGCTATCACACATCACTGGTCCAACTGCTGTGCTGCTGCTTCCCAATGAGGTGGCTATCGTCGAACAGAGCCGAGATACAATCAAAAGTTTATACCAGGCCAAATTCCTTGGACCCAGAGCTTTTGGGATCTTGGCATATCAGATCTGGATATGGATCTAGGAACTTTTGTTGGCCTCATCACGCAAAAGATTCTGCCCTGTGGAATAGCATTTGGAAGAGTTGTCTTGCTATAATTTTGGGAGACCTGTTTTCAGTTCCCATAAAACAATGGTCCTACAGGTGAGGTGTTGATCACTTTAGCAGCTGTACTAGTGGCATCCTTCAGCTGACTCAGGGATGGAGATCTTGTGGCCTTCAAGAGGTTCAATGGAGTTGCATCAACCCCAATTTGGCAGGAATGATGGGAACTAAAAAAACCTGAAAGCAAGCAATCCTGTGTCTTCTTCCCGAGCTTCATGGTTTAACACCATCCTCCAGCTGTTGGCTGGGTATTCAGTGGTTGCACTTTTGTCTGTGGTGTGATTTGTGTAGGTGTGTGTCTTCACCTGCATACTGTGCCAAATGCTCTCTTGTTTTGTGCCTCTGAAGCATGCCACTAAAGGGTGGGCAAAGAAGATTCCTAAGGAATGGTATTATTAACTATAATATGGTTATTATAGTTTGTTCAGATATGAAAATTTTGTGTGCGCGCATGGGTGTGTCTGTTGTATATTTTGTGTGCTGGTATGTGGGTGTGGGATTGAAGTCTGTAGACCTGTTGCACCTCATATAGCATTGTGTGGCAAAGTGCTACTCAGACTGGCTGCTAATTCTCTCCGTAAAATCTCCTCCATCTCCAGCTGTAGCTTCCGCCAATCTGTCCTGTTTCCAAAATGACTTGAAAGAAGAGCCCTGCTCTTAACAATTGCATGCTTAAAAGCGATATGACGCACTGCAGATCACCGACATCTTTCCAGCAGCACCTGGTTGATTGCTTATCCTATGTAGGTGTCTCACATGATCCATTTTCAGCCAGAAAGAAGCTGCAGGCAAACACCATTTGTTCCATAATCGTTCACATTGACTGAAGTCGCCCCACTTTTACCCTGTTCTTGTTTTTGAGCTGTCTAAACACTTTACAGAGCTTCGGCCACTTAAAGCACACAGCTGCAACCCCATCACTTGCAAGAGAGATTATGGGTTTATGATGATCTTCACGGTGAAAGTGTTAATAGAAGAGGTTGCTATCTCTACCTGGAGATGTGAAAGGGAGATGTTTTGATGGCCCGTTCTGCATCACCACCTTGGCCTCTTCCATGCCTTCTGGGCTTTGGCGCCCAACATTTTTGAAAGGTTGCTGTGTTATAAAAGGCAACGCTAGAATCTATTTTTTGCATGGAAAAGGATTTGTGGAAGACAGGATGGGTCTTATGACAGCTCGCCCTAGCCAACTCGCCATGGCCATCTCACTTTAGCCAACTTGGCTGTGATCAACTCGCCATGACCAACTCATCATGGAACAACTTACTGCAGGACAAGGGTTACATTAATATTGAGACGTTAAAATAATTCTTAAAATTATTTTAAAGAATTCAATTGAATTGTTGAATTGTCCCACGATGACTTGATCCATGGCGAGTTGTCCTTCGTTGTGTTGGCCATGATGAGTTGACCGTGGTGGGTTGGCCGAGGCAAATTGTCCCATTCCGGGGCAGGACATTCTCCAAAACAATCCACCATAAATCTACAATGCCGGTTGTATCACGAGGATACACGAGTCAGTGACATTACTGAGTTAGTCATGTATCAAGGATCAACTCTAGCTTTGGGGGGGGGGAGTCCAATTTCCTGTATCCTTTCTTGACAGCTGATTATGGTTGGAAGATCCACTTTAATTCCAGATCACAATGAATGAGATGTCTTTCTTTCTGGCTCTTAAGCATCTCTTCCTTTCTCTCTTTTTTTCATTGCAATCACCTTTTGCACAAAGGAGTTAGCCTACTCCTATGAAGCGAGTTACTGCTATCCGTCTGGGTACAAATGCTGAGAGCATTTGCCTGTGCCACAGGTTTATTTGGTTTCCATATTATCATCCATCAAAGAGTGCTCCAGTGCCTGATCCAAGGCACTTTGCAAGCTTTTATGGTGGGGAGAGTGGAGATCTCTAACTTGCCAGCTTTACATATTTGATATATATATATATATATATATATATATATACAGTATATGATAATCTCCCTTTTCTAAGTCAGGTACATATTTGTAAGAGTTATACTTCCCCCTCCCTATAAAATAAAATTGATCGTTAATATATTTTTCCCCATCCTCTCCACTGCCTGAATAAAACCAATGTTCTTTCCCCTTGGCTACAATACATAATTTGTATGTTATTTATTTCTAACACTGACAGACATCTACAGATTTTGATACCTATATATACATACTTACAACTATGCAAAAGCACAACATCTACATGAAACAATGTGGCACACTTCTCCACAAGGCTGAATGTGTACTTCAATTTTATGCGCAACTGTTTACCGTGTATATGGCCGGTGCAGAAAGGTGGATACCTTTTGAGTTAAATGCTTGCAGCAACCAATTAAACATCTTTCTACTCTTGCTTTTTTTAAAAGTTATTTCCCCCCACTCTTTCTTGCAGAACTCTTCTGCTCAAAAATATTCCTGGATCTTCTTCTGTACATTTTATAGTTGAGATCTCCAGAGATGACTAATAATATTCAAATGTGGGAACAGTGAAAATTATTTCTGAAGGGTCCTTGCTTCTTATTAATAGTCTCCATCAGTAAATGTCTTTGTAAAGGAGATCTTTTGTAAACCTGGACACATCTATTGTCCTATGCAAAATGGATTCGGACATTATGTTTTCTAAACCATGATTTGTGACTTAGGACAGTGGCCCCCCAACCTTTTTGGGGACCAGTGCCGTGGAGAGAGGCTTTTCTGTGGATCAGAGGGCTTGTGGTTTTAGTTGCTGATGGGGCTGTGCTTATTTGTGCGGCCCGGTTCCTGGCATGTCGCAGATCGGTGCCGGTCCAAAGATCAGGGGTTGGGGACTTTGGACTTAGGGTGTTACATGAACCCACTCATCTTTCTGTTCACCAGATCACAAGCATGATGAATGAAGCCCCTTCCTCATTTAAACCATAAAACTAATGACCAGAGTATTGCATTCTCCATTTAAGATAGAAGGATTAATTTTCAAGTGGAATACGTTTTAAGAACTGCAAACGATTACAAGATCTGCACAAAAATTAGTCTCCCATCTCTGCTGATTCTTAAAATTTAATCCCTTTGGGTGGAAGACATATTCGACAATTCTATCTTATTGGCCACTGAAATGGTAAATGTGGCAAGAAACTTTATAAGCCAAAAAAAAAAAGGTGGCCCTTGGCTTACAAGCATTCATTTAGTGACCGAAGATACAACAGGACTGAAAAAAGTGTGTTATAACCGGTTTTCACACAACCTTTACAGCATCCCTATGGTCCAATAAATCAAAATTTGGGCCCTGGCAACTGTCAGAAAATTAGGACAATTGCACTGCCCTGGAGTCACACGATCACCAATTTGTCACCTTCCCAACTCGCTTCCGATAAGGAGTCATTGGGGGAAATAAAATTCACGTAACGATCATTTTGTAATTGTGGCAAAAAGATTGCAAAATGGGACAAACCTCCCTCAACAGCTGCCTTGCACAGCAATGGAAATGTTGGGCTTGTGGACGTTAAGTCAAGAATTACCTGTACTACACCTTCACACGGTGTCAAGATTGCCAAGGAAAACACTTTGTCCATCTAAATTCAGAACATTTATAATTAGGAAGCTCTCTGTCATATTTGCTTCTCCCTGGAGATGTTAATAATCTCCATCCATAATTCAACCGTAAGCCAAGTTTAACTTTGCAGATGTGAATCTTCTCTGGCAGCTGTTTTCAGGGAAAGGGACAGACCAGCCAGGGTGGGCCACCATGTGAGGGCTGCAAGCACATTCCACAGGGCAGGAGAACCAATACGGAAACTAGATTTGGCTGTCGGTTCCAAACTTATCTCTGTTTATAGGATAAAGAGATGCCATCCGTTTTTGTAATTTCTCAGCAGCAAAACCCAGGCAAAAGGACATCGTTATCCAGGTCCCATCTATAGTTACTCTTTTAAAAAACAAACATGTTATTTTCCAATTCACCCATTTTATTCAAAGATATTAAGTTGTGAGCTGTCGCCTGGGAAAAAAAGTGCCGCCAGATGGCCCTGATGCTACCCAACTCCATAGGCTGGACACAGCTTTCCTACAAGCATTTGCAATCTTTTGCAAGATCCAAGACTTCTGTGGCTTTGAAAGATTACTATCGTTAGAGAGGCTAATAGAAATATACTGTGAGGTCGTGGTCAAGATGGCACTTAAGACTTATGTACCACTTCACAAGTGCTTTACAGCCTTCTCTAAGATATTTGCAGAGTCAGCCTCTTGCCCCCAACAATCTGGGTCCTCATTTTACCGACCACGGAAGGATGGAAGGCCGAGTCAACCTTAAGCCAGTGAGGATCGAACTCCTGGCAGTGGGCAGAATTAGCTTGCCATACTGCATCCTAACCACTGCGCCACCACGGCTCTTGTGCAGCTGGCAAAATGTGAAGCAGCAGTTGCGAGAAACATTGGAACGTGACAGAGCCCTAGTTGTCGAAGTGTTCAGTCTAGTATTCCTCTCTGCCTCTGTTAGACTTTGGGTAGCCCCTCTCTGGCATCCTAATGTCATGGCTGGCTAAGATGTAGGATTACGAGTGGGGAGACCAGGTTCCAGCCAAATTTCAATGGAAAAATACCATACCGCTCTTGAGGTTTAGGGGTGGAAGTTTGCATTATTTACTTGGGGGTGCCAATTGGTGATACCTGGTCAAAGGCAACCAGAGAAGAGAGGGACATTTTAATTTGCATGGCAAGCCACCTATTACGTCCTGGCATCCTCTAGGGAAGAATGGGCACTGCCAGAAGAGCCGATGGCAGCCCTGAGAGAACTGCTCTCTTTTTAGGTGCACTACCAAAGATTTCAATCCATGTGCGCACAAACACACACACATACACACACACATATTTTTGTGGGAGCCTTATTTTCTTTTAAACAATGTAAATATGTCTGCCAGTGATGGAAAGGAAAGGAAAATACAGGGGAACAGATTATAGCTTGGGAAGAAAAGCATGATCTAACAGTAAAGTTGATCAGCACTTAAGGAAGGAGAAGGGAAAGTTCCTCTTTATGGTGTGTTTCAATATTTCACTTTTCTCTATCCCTACCATGATTTTTCAAGCTAAGTGATCTGGATTCCCAGCACTCTGATCTTTATTCTTTACTGTCATCTTGAAAAATATAAAAGGGCTATGTTTACAATAAAGTGTCATTTTTTTAAAAAAACACTGTTTATTAGGGCCTAAGAAATAATGCTATGTCTTTAAAGCATATAGAATATTAAGTTAGTAATAGATACTGTTGATTTCTTACTTGTGGAAATCTACCCACTTAGTTTTTTGGAATCATGCTAATAAAAATCACAACAATCCTTTCCTTCCTTCCTTCCTTCCTTCCCTTCCTTCCTCCCTAAATTTCAATCCAACCAGCTGAAAGAAATCATGATAATCTTTCCTCTTCCTTTCTCCTTTTTTTCTTTCTCCCTCCCTCCTCCCCTCTCTTCCGGAATTTCAGTCCCACTTCAAATCTTCCAGGCATGAATGACCTTGACTTCTGCCTGACCAATTCTGTTAGATCCAAGCCAAAGAGGACTGATGGTTGCGTAGCAACTTAGCAAATTGGATCACATGCTCAAGCCACAAAAGAGACTTATGCAAAGATGAGCAGAAAGTGCTGTGTTCAGAAGCATGAACAGTCAAAAATCCCCAAAGCCACACAGCCTTCTTTTTATTTTTATTTTTCAAAAGGGGGGTCGTCTTCACAGGCAGCCGTTAGATGCACAGATCTCTGGCCCAGCCGAACAGGGGCAAGCAGAGCTTCAACAAAGAGGCTGCATTTGGTAAGAAGCAACTAACTTTCCAAGCTCTATAAATAGTTCTGCAGCATAATGTGTGATCTCTTCCTATCTGATGTTTGCAAGGAAAATATGTTTTAAATGTAGATCTCGGGCGGTCACAAGATCTGCAAAAGGCAGCCTGCTTTGGATTTTAAAAGTACGGAACATGACAGTTATTGGGAGGGGGGAAGCAGGAAGTGAGTACTGAAAAAGAAATTCAAAGGAGATCCTAGAGAACTAAACTTAAGTGAGGAAACTGCATCTCATCTAAAAGGAGAGAAGGAGGCTCTTGAGCAGAATAAACGGGGGGGGGGGAGAGAAAGTTCCTGCAAGTTCTGACATTGCAGTTTCGCAAACGTCCGTGGTTTTAGTTCATTTCACAAACCCTGGTTAAATAAACTGATTCACAGATGTGTGAATCCAGGCTGAAATTCCTGTGTCCTGAACGGAATCCCTGTTCACTGCCGTTAGCCAAGAAACGGACCTTGAAAGAAAATTAGGACATAAACTTAAAGCAAACCACATAAGAACCAGAGAATGGCAGGGGAATATATCAGCACCCAAAACAGTTCTGACAACAAAGGTGGCACGAGTTACCTCACTCCTGTAGCTTATGACCTCCTGTCTCACAATGTCAAAGCTGTTGCAAAAAATAGTGAACGATGCCACACAAAGGGTAAGTTTTTAGAGTATTGATAATACCAAATCTCCACCCTGCTTAGATAATTTTTTCTGCTGGCTGCCTACAGGGCAACCAGACTAGCAAAATCGAGGGGTACGACAGTTGTCACTCAGGGCTCACATTCTGGACATCTTTTGGGGAGCAGAAAACGGCCCCATTTTTGCAATCTGTCTCTAAAGGCAAAGTTTCCCCCAAAATGAGATATATTATTCATGCATATTTTGCCCTGGAAGTTCTCCTCCTCCAGCAGGATAGATTTTTTTTTCCTGGCCCTTTCCCCCCCCCCTTCTTCTTAATTTTGCTGAGTCTTCTTGGCATATTGCCTTCTTTGGGATGTGCTGTCAGGAAAGCCAGTCTCCTGCTGGAAAAAAAAAGACATAGCTTCATAGGCCAAATTTTGCCTAGGGATGATTCCTCCAGTAACTCGATTCACACGTGGTGTTAAACTAAGTTTGGTAATGGCCACAATGGGTCGAACTGGACTGATAATGCTGTGCCCTTGATTTTGATAAATAAATAATGCCTGTGTGGTAAGCTTTATTGACTGAGTTAAAGCAAACAAAACTAAATGTGCCTTAATGTGTTCCAAAAATTTGTCATAAATCCCATAGTATACAAAGCACATGGTGACTTTTAACCAGTGGTGGGATTCAGCCAGTTTGCACCAGTTTGGCAGAACCGGTAGCTAATTTTTTGTTGCCCAGGCCCAGAATGGACTTCCAGAAGCAGCATCCACACAGAGAACCGGTTGTTCACATATTTGAATCCCACCACTGCTTTTAATGCTAGGAAAAGTGGCTGGTATCGATGGGATAATTCAAACTTAAATAAAACATTAGTTCTGCTGCCCTAGTAAATCTCAAATGGCTTCTCCGTTTTCCTGCCAACTTTTTAATTTCCTATCAAGTTTGCTTAGCTCTCTGTCAAATTGCTGTTTAAAAGTGGGTAAAGACCACCGTCAATAATTAGGATCAAATTGCAATCTGCCCAGGATACTTCTATCACTTTGCAGATTTAAAAAGTAGCAAACAAATAAGCAAATATATAACTATTTCTTTTAACAGCAAAAAAAAAGTATCTATAGATTTTAGTTTTTCCAGCAAATGCTTCCTGGAAATTTTGTGTTCAGAAATAATACATGTCAGAAAAATTCTGGGCTAATTTTCCAAGCCTTTATGAGGATAGGAAACTTTCTTAAAAGGGAACTTGAACTCGTTCTTCCCAGGCTTAATTCTACACCCCAATATCAAGAGCTCTTTTGCTCTTAAGTCAAAGACAAGGTTTACACAACTCCCCATTCTATTAAAAAAATGGTTTACAAGTCACAGCAGCTTAGTAGAAACCAAACAAGCCTATTATGTCTTAATTTGTTGTCTAAACTGGATCATCTCATTAAGCCATTGCACATTACAGGAAGTCCTCGACTTACAAAAGCACCTTTAGTGACTGTTTGAACTTCCAACGCCGCTGAAAAAAAATGACATGACCGTTTGTCCGAAATGGTATAGGGTTTCCTGCCTGAGCAGGGGATTGGACTAGATGACCTCCAAGGGTCCTTCCAACTTTATTATTATTATTATTCACACTGACGGCCATTGCAGCATCCCGATGATCACAGGATCAAAATTCAGACGCTTAGCATCTGCTTCATCGTTATGACAGTCACAGCATGCTGGGGTCCTGGGGATTCCTTCTGTGGCCCTTCCAAGAAGCAAAGTCAAGGCGGGACCCAGATTCACTTAACAACCGTATGACTCATTTAACAACCGCAGCCATTCACTGAACAAGTGCGGGCCCAAAGTTTTCTGCAGCTAAGTAAGACAGTCGCTAAGCAGGTTTTGCCCCATTTGACCACTTTCCTTTAAATCTTGGTTGCCTGAATGCTCCAACACTGGAAATTTTTAAGAAGAGATTGGACGGCCATTTATCTGAAATGGTATAGGGTTTCCTGCCTGAGCAGGGGGTTGGACTAGATGACCTCCAAGATCCCTGCCAACTTTATTATTATTATTATCATTATCATTATTATTATTAAAGGGGGCCTCGAGAAAGAAACACGCCGCGGCGGCTGAGCTCCAGCAGGGCTGCGGCTGGCGGCAGAGCAGCGCCTCCGAAAAAAAAAAAAAAGTTTCCCCAAAAGTTGGGGGCTCCGGCGTGAGCCGCGCTCTGGCCGGCTTCGCCGCGGAAGGCAGGATGCCGCGGGCCGCCCACCGAAGCGGCAGACCCGCGGGCCCGCCGGGCCGTCGCGGTAGGAGGCCGCGCGTCCGGAGCCAGGCGGGCGATGGCCAAGGCTCCGCGGGCGCTCCCGGCGCTCACATCCGGGGCTGGCTCTGGCGAATGGGAAGCGCAACGAACCCGGAAAAATCATCACCATCATCATCATAACAACCCCCAAAAGCCGCGGCGGCCAAGGCAGCGCGATCCTCGGGGCCGACGCGCAGAGACGGGCGCTTTGCACCCAGGCTGCCCGGCGCTCGGATCTCCCCGGCCATGTGCGCGCGGGGTGGGTCCTCCGGCTGGAGCCCCCACGCCAGCCCCAAAGCGCGCAGGGCGGTGAGTCTGGCCGGGCGCGCTCGGACGGTGGGGCTGGAAGAGACCACCCCGGGGAGCCGGGAGAGCCTCGCGTGGGGCTGGAGAGGGGAGGCGAGGGTGGGCAGCAGCAGCCCCACCGGGCCGGCCCAGGAAGGCGCTTGGGACCCGGTGGGAGCGTCAGGTTGGAGAGGGCGCCTTCCCTTGTCGGGGAGGGACCGACTAGATGCCCTTTTCAGGGGAGGAGGAAGAGGAGGAGGAGAAGGAGGAGGGCTGGGGCTGTGCGTGCTGCGCGCGTCCGAACACACCCACCCGCGTAGGGGCCGGAGCTGCGGGCGCGCCGCTGGAGGATGTGAAGGTGGCGCAATGGGTCGGAAGGCGAGGAGGGCCCGGAGTGGAAGATGAGCAGCCAGCCTTCCCAGCCGGGGCTCCGGAGCGGCAGTGGGCGCGAGCGGAGCCGAGGCTTCTGCGCTCCGGGCCGAAGGGTGCGGCTCCTGCCGGCGCTTTTTTAAGCCAGACGAGCGGAGAAGGCGCTTTAAGAAGTCCGCCCGGGGAAGCTCTGGCAAGTTTGCAGCCGAGGAAGTGGCCGTAGGATTGGGGCAAGTCTTGGCCAAGTTCCGCTTGAGCCTTGTCTCTTTTTTTTTTCCCCTCTTCCGAGCGAAGCCTTTCTTAGAAGGGGAGGCTAAATTGCACCCAGAGCAGAGAGAAAGAGACTTGCAACCCAACGAAGGCGCATTGCAACCTCGGCTCTTTTATGGCTCATGGACTTCAACTCCCAGAATTCCCGAGTCAGCGCAGCTGACTCGGGAATTCTGGGAGTTGAAGTCCATGAGCCATAAAAGAGCCGAGGTTGCCTACCCCTGGCTTCGGGACTAATTGGCCTGGCCTTGCCTTCTCTTGGACTCCACTTTTCCAACCCCGAGCCCCATGGCACAGTTTTTTTTGTGCTGGGGTTTTCCAAGGGGAATCGGATCTGCAGCCCCGAAACCAGGGCATTCGGATCCTTTTAGAGACAGGGAACTTCCAGCCCAAAGTTTTCTCTGCCAATACCTGGTTGCTTGGTGTATTCAGCTTCCCCGTCAAGGAGCATGGCAGTCAGAGCTGGTGAAAGCCTGGAGTTGTGAATTCTCTCTAGGAGGTCTAGCAGGTATCAGGTGCGCAAGTTGACTTAGCTGCGAATGTGCTGGGTTGTGAGGCCAAAGAGGCTAGCCTGTTTTCCCAAATGGCTGTTTGTTTGCTTTTCTAAGTGAAACTCAGTATCCTTTGAGTAGGCTCAATATATTCTGTTTGTTGTCAGAAATATATATTTTTATAGGTATATACAAATGTTGCCTTTAGGTTGCTTAGTGGTGCCACCGGAATTTAAGCTGATTTGCAGTCTGATAAAAAAAAAAAGTGGGTCACAGAAGCAGTTCCCCTGCAAATATTTATATGGTTAAAATAAGAGGTCGGTCCTCAAATGCAGCAGGCTTGAGCCAAAAAGTATAAAAAAGTTTGATCTAAAAAGTTTAAATGCAGTGAGTTTGTTTGGTGGTGGTTCCTCCGTTTAATCATAGCCGATTCTTGGAGACTTGCCTGGACATGCAGTTTTTGGTTTTTTTGGTTTTTAGAAGTGGTTTGCCATTGTCTCCTTCTTAGGGCTGAGAGAAAGTGACCAGCTCAAGGTCACCCGGCTGGCTTTGTGCCTGAGACTAGAACTCACAGCCTTCCAGTTTGTAGCTGGTTGCTCTAACCACTATACCAAACTGGTTCTCAAACGGGGTTCTGTTAACCCAGTTGATGGACTCCCTATATATTATGGGAAAGAAAATTTACATATATAAATTTATATATATGTATATATGTGTATGTGTGTATTATATATGTGTGTATGTGTCTTGAATGTTTTTTGATACACCCTGTCGGCCCAAAAATGGGAGGAAGAAATCTAACTGTTTGTTAGCAACCCAAAAAATATGTGTATGCATGTATGTATATATAGGTATATGTATGTATATGTATATGCATATGCATATATATATATTTATTTTCTGAGATTTTCGTGGGTGTTTGTATGTAGGTCTTTGGTTATTCGGGTTTTCTCCCGCGTCAAATTGGAAGTGTCTTGGTGACGATTCAACGAAGTCTCATTCGTCATCTTCAGGCTGGTGTTTTCGGCTTCGTGCTTCTAGGAGCACGAAGCCGAAAACACCAGCCTCAAGATGATGAATGGGACTTCGTCAAAACGTCGCCAAGACACTTCCAATTTGATGCGGGAGAAAACCCGAATAACCAAAGACCTACATACATACATACATACATACATACATACATATATATACTGCCCAGATTCTGTTCAAGAAAAAGATATCACCCCATATGGATAGAGATCACAACGTTCATACCTGTGTTGAGATTGGGGTTCCTTGCCTGCCATTTTTATTTCCAACAGAAAGACCCAATTCTTTGAGCCAATTCATCCTTGGTTTTTTGTTTTTTTTTAACCTTTTGGCAAGGCAGGTGCTGGCAAGGAGGAGGCTTCTAATACTGTTTTTGGGATTCCTGTCAAAAGGGGATTTTAAAGCCCTCTTCATATTTTCCCTGCTATCTGACTCAGCCTCTCCCACGTTCTAGTTTAGATTGCGAGAAGGAAAAGAAAGACCATTTGGACAAAGAAAAACAGTTCCTTTTTGAGGCAAAACACTGCAAAGGAGCTGCCATAAGGCTGGGTGTGTGTGTGGATCTGAATGGGTTTGAGTCTGATGAAAGGTGCAAATGGTTGTTGCAGGTTATAGTCTGCTCTCTTTCGAAGCTACGGGTATTCTGAAATGGCAAATTACAGAGAGTCAGAGAGTCCTCAATTTACAGCCATTCATTTAGTGAGGGGTAGGCAACCTGGGCTCTTTTATGACTCGTGGACTTCAACTCCCAGAATTCCTGGGCCAGCATGACTCAGCTTAGAAACCTCTCCCTTTCCTCTCAGCATGGCTGGCTCAGGAATTCTGGGAGTTGAAGTCCACCAGTCATAAAAGAGCCGAGGTTGCCTACCCCTGGTTTAATGACTGTTCAAAGCTACAATGGCACTGAAAAAAAGTGATTTATGACCATTTTTCACATTTATGACGGCTGCAGCCTCCCCATGGTCACATGATCACAATTCAGATGCTTGGTGACTGGGTTCACTGGATTCCCTTTTGCAACTTCCTGACTAGCAAAATCAATGGGGGAAGTCAGAGTCATTTCACAGCCGTGCCCCTAACTTAACAACCGCAACGATTCACTTAAACAACCGTGACGAAAAAGGTTGTAAAATGGGGTGAGATCCGCTTGACAACCATCTCGCACCATAACAGAAATCTTGGGCTCAGTTGTAATAATAATAATAATAATAATGATGGTGATGATGATGATGATGATGATGTTGGAAGGGACCTTGGTGGTCATCTAGTCCAACCCCCTGCTCAGGCAGGAAACCCTATGCCATTTCGGACAAATGGCTATCCAGTCTCTTCTTAAAAACTTCCAGTGTTGGAGCATTCACCGCTTCTGGAGGCAGGTGGTTCCCCTGGTTAATTGTTCTAACTGTCAGGAAGTTTCTCCTTAGTTCTAGGTTGTAAGTTGAGGACTACCCACGTGTTTTTACGATCCGTGGGGGGAGGGGCAGTTTACCCTGGGCTTTGTCCTTGTTCCCTATCTGACAATTTGTCCGCATTGCCTGCTACTTCGATGGCACCAAAATAGAACAGTTGTACAGTTACCTTGAAACTTGCCAGCCTTTGGCTGTCTGGCACGTCTTCCTTTTCTATGAGAACCGAAAGCCGGACGTGTGTAACCCCTCCCGCATTATCTCCGATGAGATTAGGACAGGAAGAGAAGTGGCTGGCTGGTCAAGGGCTGCATGCTATGTGAGTGCGAGGATTTGAGTTTGGCTCACCAAAACTTGGGCCAGTTTCAACGGCTAATCTGATAGTTTGGCATCACTTTTTTTTTTTAAAGTATGCTTCTCTTTTGCTCCTCAGATTGAACGTAGTCCTTGAATTACGACAGTTCATTTAGGGACCGTTCAAAGTTACAACGGCACTGAAAAGTGTGGCTTTTATCTTGCAGCATCCCCATAATCATGAGATCAAAATTCGGCCGTCTGACAACTGACTCGTATTTACGACGGCTGCACTATCCCGGGGTGATGTGATCTCCTTTTGAGACCTTCTGACAGGTCGTAAAGTGCAACGAAACTCACGGACCAAATATCTCACTGAACAACATAAATTTTGGGCTCAGTTATGGTCGTAAGTTGAGGACCGCCTATACAATTGAGACCTGGTCTGTAGGCAGCCAAGAAGAGGAGGCAGGAACTTTGTTTAGGACAGGGGTGTCCAACCTGGGCAACTCTGTGGACTTCAACTCCCAGAATTCCCCAACCATCCAGGCATGACTGGCTGGGGAATTCTGGGAGTTGAAGTCCACAAGTCTTAAAATTGCCCCGGTTGGACACTCCTGTCCTAAACAAATCCACGCGTGGCTGGCTGGAGAATTCTGGGATTTGAAACCCACAATTCCTAAAGTTGGCCAAGTTGGACGCCCCTGGTTTAGAACATATAAGGAGGCAGCTTCAAAATGCTCATCATTTAACCATTTGTAAAGGACAGCAAGCTCAGACCCTGGGCCCAAGGCTGGCTCACGCTTTTCTTCAACGCACTCTAAAAGCGATAGAGAAAAGATGGCTACATTTCCATCTGTTGTCAAAGCAAGAACATCCGATGTTAGCAGCGTTGACCTAAGGCAGTGATGACGAACCTTTTAGAGGCTGAGTGTCCAAACTGCAACCCAAAACCCACTTATGCATCGTCGGGTGCCGGGTGGGTGTGGCCCATTGGGTGAGCGTGGCTGCGGTGGTAACAGCAGACTGGGCGGGACCAAAAAGTTTAATCAATCAATTCCAACTTTGCAGGATCTTTTTTTTTTCCCCGCAAGAAGTTGAAAGTGACTGATTGACTGAATCTTTTTTTTTTGTACACGGCAGTGGAAGCCCCCAAGCGAAAAGG